TCCAGAGGTAGCCAAATCAAGACTAATTTGTGAAACAAGCCCATTCCTAACAAACATGGCCTAAGTATTTACACAAGCTTAGGAAGAATAGTGATTGCAGGGGCGCCTGGGGGCCTCAGTCAGTTAAGCGTTTGACTTTGGTTCAGGTCGTGATTTCTGGGTCTGTGTGTTCAAGTGCCACGTCGGGCTTTGTGCTGACAGCTCAGAGCCTGGAGCCGGTTTCGAGTTCATTGTCTCCCTCTCTGTCTACCCATCCCCAGGTCAGGCTCTCACTCTCTCATCTCTATTACACTCTTCTCTCTCTCAAATAAATGAACATTAAAGATTTTTAAATATCAAATATGTTCCATATGTGTTCCACTAGGAGTCAGTTTGCCCACTATCTTCCCCCCACCCCAACCCCGGGATACCTATGGGAAAAATCTAAAGTTGGCCATTTAAGTCCAGCAGAGCCCCAGGTCCTTCAGGGGCAAGGGCAAGCCAATGAGGTGGAATGAAAGGTCGTTCAGAAGGTCCGACGGGTCAGACAGGCCATGAAACCGAGGAAGAACATTCTGCAGTTTTTGTGGGGGTTGGGATTTGGGGACAGTGCCGTTAACATGAAGGCTTGGCATATATGGGGGACCTCCGAGCATTTGGAGGAGCTTTGGCAAAAGACTTCCAGCTTGAAAATAGTAGTATAAGAAAGGTTGCGTAATGGGCCATATGTCTTGATCTGGGAGTTTGTATGAGGCCAGGACGTGTGACCTGAAGGATGAGATGATTTTTCTCAGGTCTTGGTGCTCACATTTTATCCACTTTTTAGAAATTCAGCCCAAGGAAGAGTACGAGGCATAGAGGAGGTTTGTCCCGTACTGGGAAAGACCTGCTGCTGATTCCCAGAGGAAGAGGAATGGGGCTCTGACTCGTGGTCGAGATAGCAGTCTGGACGGGCAATGTCCCCAAAAAGGACTGGTCCTTATGTGGGCCACCTGATTTTACTGGGGCATCTGACCAAGGAGACTGTCACAACAATTACAATAGAAATACATGCCGGGGCGTCCCTGCTACAGGGAGACACACACCCGGTGGCCAACCTGGGTCATAAAAGAGAGACTCAGCACTGAAACGTGTAGGAATGTGTTTCCCTGTAGATCATGATGGCAGCTGGTTACATGGGAACAGAGGAGTTAAGGAAGGGGCCTGAAAGAATAAGGCTGCAGAGACTCCACCAGCGTTGGGAAAAGGGCCCAGCTGAGTCGGTAACGTGTGGATTCACTCTGTTGGGCTGCTGTTTCCTACTACACCACACGTGGGGAACAGACCTTGGGGGATGGAGTGAGAAAGCAGAGGAAAGGGGTCCTAGACCTTCATAGGCACGGACAGTCCAACCTGCTCATTCTCACACGTTCAGACCAGGGTGTGGAGCTACTCTGGCCAAAGACCTTCAGTTGTCTGAGGCCTGCTAGGGTTAGATCTGCTAACGGGTAAAAAGACAACAGAGAGGGAGGCAGGGATCCCCCTGAAGGGCGGGAGGGAAACCCCTCAGCCTGGGGGGCGAGGACGGTCCCATAGACCCCCCTGGGGCTTGGGATCCTCGCCAAGGAGCACCCTCAGGTGGTGGTTGTCACATGCCCAGATTGTGCTAGAGCCAGTCCACACGGGAAACTACCCAGAAATTCCTAGAACGTCCCGGGAGAGGCCCAGGACAGCAGAGGGTCCGTGTGAAGGCCGTCAAATGTGAGGCGACCGATGAGGTGGAGGCCGCAGCTCAGGGGGTGAGAGAGTCCCCCCGAGGCGGACGGAGGAGCTGGGGGTGTGCTGAGTCCCCTGCACGGGAGCAGCGGGCAGGGCAGCAAAGGAGAGACCTTCTGCCGGGAGGCGGTACTGGGGGGCTGTGGTTATGGGGGGGTGTGAGGGGGCGTGGGCACCTTTGGGACGCAACCCGTGTTGGGACCTGCGCCTGGTTGTAAGTACCCAGGGGTCAGTTAGGGACAGTGGCCTAGTCGAGGCAGGTCCCTTAGGAGCCTGTGTGCATTCAGCTGTGTGCTCACTGGGCCCTTTGCTTTGCTCCGTGTCCTTCCATTGCTCAGGTGTGTTGCCTGAAAGCAGCCTGTACACTCTGATTTTTCTTCCTCTTCATAGTGACCGGTGGCTCTGTCCCCATCAATCCCTCAGAGACTCTTCCTTCTGGTGCCCTTTCTCTTGAATTCTGGGCCCTGGGTTAAATGTTTGAGAGGCCTTGCTGATATCTCAGTTTCTGGAGTCCCCGAACTCATCTTACACACCAGGTGTGCCAGGTGCCGATCCCTCACCTGTGTCCATGCCCAGAGTCCACCTAACCCAGGGACTGGGTCGTGTGCCTCTTTCGGAAGAACGGGGGCTCCCCCAGGCTTCCTGACCTCATTCCTTCCCGGGTAAGAGCAGCACTGGGGTCTGAGTGTCCACAACATCCTGATATTCTGGTCCCATTTCTTGGAGCTGACGAGGCAGGATCACCTTTGGGCAAGACAAACATGTGTCCTCTGACTTTTGTGTTGTCTGCGTGAATATTTCATGTTTAAACTGTACAGTAGTGGTCTGCTCAGCTCTGCTCCGCCTCAGTGTACATAACTCCTAATTGGGTGTATGTAAGTCTGTATCACTTATCACCACACCCTGCGCTTCCAGCCCTTCCTGTTCCGTATGCACTGCAGGGGACCTGCTTGCGTGTTGTCACTTCTAACACGTGTGACTCAGGGGTCCTAGAAATGGAGGGCAGCTCCCTGCCTGTCACTCTTCATCCTCCCACACACACGGGTGAGGATGGAGCTTTGCAGCAATCGAGTGTGTGGTATGTTTCAGGCCTCTGTGGTCTTTGAGGATGTGGCTGTGAACTTTACCCCAGACGAGTGGGCTTTGCTGGATCCAGGTCAGAGGAAGCTCTACAGAGATGTGATGCTGGAGACGTGCAGGAACCTGGCCGCCGTGGGTAAGGATCCCTTCTCTGGTCTTTTAAGGAGGAAGAAAAGGTCAAATTTACAAATGATATGAAACTATACGTAAATGTCCTTAAGACTTCACCAGCACAGTTAGAACTAATAAATGAATTTAGAAGAGTTACAGAACACAAAATTAATACTTTAAAATCTGTTGCACTTCCATATCTACTAACAAAATAGAAGAGAATTTTAAAAGCAAACCCATGTTTAATTACTTCAAAAACCATAGAATACTATGTTAATGAAACCAAAAAAGTTAAAAGATTGTCTCTGGAAGGTGTAAAACATTTAGTGAAAGAAATTGAAGGGGCACCTGGGTGGCTCCATTGGTAAAGCGTCAACTTCAGCTCAGGTCATGATCTCACAGTTTGTGAGTTTAAGCCCTGCGTTGGGCTTTGTGCTAACAACTCAGAGCCTGGAGCCTGCTTCAGATTCTGTGTTTTCCTCTCTCTGCCCCTCCCCCTCTCTATAATAAACATTAAAAACATTTTTTTAAGAAATTGAAGATAACACAATAATGAAGGGTACCCCATTGTCATGGATTGTGTGAACTAATATCCTTGACCATACTATGAAAAGTGCTTTACATATTCAGTGCAATCCCTGTCAATATACTGACAATATTTTTCGAAGAACTACAGCAGGAAATTCTAAAATTGATATGAAAACAAAAAAGATTCCAAATACTCAAAGCAATTTTGAGAAAACATATCAAAGCTGAAGATGTAACAGTCCCAGATTTCGAACTATACTAAACAAAACAGTATAATGCTGACACAAAAAACACATATAGATCAAAGCAACAGAACAGAGTCCAGAAATAAACCCATGTGTATATGGTCAGATTATCTACAAAGAAGGAGGTGAGACTATACAATGGGGAAAAGACTGTCTCTGCAATAAATGGTGCTGGGAGAATGAGGGAGCTACCTGCAAGGAGATCAAACCGGACCAGCTTCGTGCCCCTTACCTGAACGTAAACTCAGCATGGATTAAACACGTAGGTGTAGGACTTGAACCCACACATGTCTTAAGACAAAACTGAGGCACTAAACTCATGGACATCAGCCTTCGCATTATTTTTGTGGAATCATCCCTTCAGGTAAGGGAAACAAAAGGAAAAATAAAAAACGGAAAGAGGAACATAACAGACATTTTCCCACAGAAGATATAGAGATGGTCCCTTGACACATGAAAGGCTTCTCAATATCAGTAATCCTCAGGGAAATGCACATCAAAACCACCGGGAGCTGTCCCTCACAGTAGCCAGAATGGCTAGTACCAAAAGGCCTGGAAATACAAGTGTTGGTGAGGATGTGGAGAAAAAGAAACTCCTGGTTGGTGGTATTCAAATGGGCACAGCCAGCTTGGCAAAAAGTATGGAGTTGCCACAAGAAAATGGAACACAGCAGTCCCATATGGTGCGTTATTGCACTTCTGAGTAGTTCAGCAAAGACAAAAGCCCAGCACGATACGGTATGTGCATCCCAAGTTCACTGTACTGTTACTCACTGTACTCAAGATATGGAAGCAATGCAGGAGTTCATCAACAGATGAATGGATAATGAAGATGTGGTATCTCCATATAAGGGACTATCCCTGTTATAGAAAAGAGCCGAATTCTNGGCTTCTTGACCTTGTTCTTTCCAGGGCAAGAGCTGCTGGGATCTAAGTGTCCGCAATGTCCTGACATTCTGGTCCCAGTTCTTGGAGCTGATGAGGCAGAAAATCATTGAACAAGCCAAATGTGTGCCCTCTGTTTTCTGTGTTGTCCGAGTAAATATTTCATGTTTCAATCTGTACAGTAGTGGTCCGCCCAGACCTTTCCAGTGTAAATAACTCAGTAAACTGGGCGTGTGTGAGTCTATGTCAGCTGCTGTCATCACCCTGCGCTTCAGGTTCCAGCCCTTCCCGTGCTGTGCGCACTGCAGGGGACCTGCTTGCGTGTTGTCACTATCTACTCACGTGTGACTCGGGTTCTAGGAATGGAGGGCAGCTCCCTGCCTCTCACCCTTCTTCCTCCCACACACACGGGTGAGGATGGAGCTTTGCAGCAATCGAGTGTGTGGTATGTTTCAGGCCTCTGTGGTCTTTGAGGATGTGGCTGTGAACTTTACCCCAGACGAGTGGGCTTTGCTGGATCCAGGTCAGAGGAAGCTCTACAGAGATGTGATGCTGGAGACGTGCAGGAACCTGGCCGCCGTGGGTAAGGATGGCTCCATCCCTTCTCTGGTCTTTTAAGGAGGAAGAAAAGGTCAAATTTACAAATGATATGAAACTATACGTAAATGTCCTTAAGACTTCACCAGCACAGTTAGAACTAATAAATGAATTTAGAAGAGTTACAGAACACAAAATTAATACTCTAAAATCTGTTGCACTTCCATACCTAACAAAATAGCAGAGAATTTTAGAAAACAAACCCATGTTCAAATACTTCAAAAACCGTAAAATACTATGTTAATGAAACCAAGGAATTTGAAAGATTGTCTCTGGAAGGTGTAAAACTTAGTGAAAGAAATTGAAGGGGCACCTGGGTGGCTCCATTGGTAAAGTGTCAACTTCAGCTCAGGTCATGATCTCACAGTTTGTGAGTTAAAGCCCTGCGTTGGGCTCTGTGCTAACAACTCAGAGCCTGGAGCCTGCTTCAGATTCTGTGTTTTCCTCTCTCTGCCCCTCCCCCTCTCTATAATAAACATTAAAAACATTTTTTTAAGAAACTGGAGATAACACAATAATGAAGGGTATACCATTGTCATGGATTGTGTGAACAATATCCTTGACCATACTATGAAAAGTGCTTTACATATTCAGTGCAATCCCTGTCAATATACTGACAATATTTTTCGAAGAACTACAGCAGGAAATTCTAAAATTGATATGAAAACAAAAAAGATTCCAAATACTCAAAGCAATTTTGAGAAAACATATCAAAGCTGAAGATATAACAGTCCCAGATTTCGAACTATACTAAACAAAACAGTATAATGCTGACACAAAAAACAGACATATAGATCAAAGCAACAGAACAGAGTCCAGAAATAAACCCATGTGTATATGGTCAGATTATCTACAAAGAAGGAGGTGAGACTATACAATGGGGAAAAGACTGTCTCTTCAGTAAATGGTGCTGGGAGAATGAGGGAGCTACCTGCAAGGAGATCAAACCGGACCAGCTTCGTGCCCCTTACCTGAACGTAAACTCAGCATGGATTAAACACGTAGGTGTAGGACTTGAACCCACACATGTCTTAAGACAAAACTGAGGCACTAAACTCATGGACATCAGCCTTCGCATTATTTTTGTGGAATCATCCCTTCAGGTAAGGGAAACAAAAGGAAAAATAAAAAACGGAAAGAGGAACATAACAGACATTTTCCCACAGAAGATATAGAGATGGTCCCTTGACACATGAAAGGCTTCTCAATATCAGTAATCCTCAGGGAAATGCACATCAAAACCACCGGGAGCTGTCCCTCACAGTAGCCAGAATGGCTAGTACCAAAAGGCCTGGAAATACAAGTGTTGGTGAGGATGTGGAGAAAAAGAAACTCCTGGTTGGTGGTATTCAAATGGGCACAGCCAGCTTGGCAAAAAGTATGGAGTTGCCACAAGAAAATGGAACACAGCAGTCCCATATGGTGCGTTATTGCACTTCTGAGTAGTTCAGCAAAGACAAAAGCCCAGCACGATACGGTATGTGCATCCCAAGTTCACTGTACTGTTACTCACTGTACTCAAGATATGGAAGCAATGCAGGAGTTCATCAACAGATGAATGGATAATGAAGATGTGGTATCTCCATATAAGGGACTATCCCTGTTATAGAAAAGAGCCGAATTCATGCCATTTGGGACAACATGGTTGGACCTAGTGGATATTATGCTAAGTAAATAAATCAGACAGAAAGACAAAAGATGTTACTCATATGTGGAGTCTAAATGACGAGCAAACGAGCAAACAGAACAGGCTTAAAATGTAGAGAGCAAATGGTGTTAGTGAGATTGGAAGGGGATGGAGGGACAGGTGAAATAGATGGAGGGGATTGAGAAGTACAGATTTGTATACATATTGAATACATAAGTCATGAGAAGGAACAGTAGAGCACAGGGAGTATGCTCAGTAATTTTGTAGTTTTGTATAGTGACAGTAATTACACTTACTATGGTGAACTTTTGATTATGTATGTAATGGTTGAATTCCCATGTTGCACACCTGACATGAATATGTAGGTCAGTATGCTTCTATCAATGAATGAATGAATAATAAAAAGTCCCACAATTATCCGTCATCAGTGACCTTCAGGACTAAAGTCAGCCCCCATCTTCCACATTGCTTGGTGTCCTTCAAATCCTCCCTCCTGCCGAGCTCTTCTCAGGGGCAGGACAGCAGCCACACACATCACCTGACTCCTAATGGAAGCTGGAGCAGTGCAGAAACGCTTCACCAAAGGCTATGTGCCTTCAGAACTAGTCAACCCTTGGTGGGGCCAGGTTCTGGACAAAGGATTGGCGTTTGGACACATGCCCTAGAAACATGACCTATGTTTTGAGAAGGGTGATATTTGTCGTTCACCTGGCTTCCCTGTTGGACTTTTCATCCATCGTCACCCATCTGGCCCTTCTTCTGTATTCTTATACAGGTAGGGTATAGATGTGTGGATCTTGCCCAATTCCTTCTTACTTGCCTTTTCTGCACATTAGTCTCCATCTATTTTGAAGTGTTTCTGAACGAACACCCTGCCATTTCATACACTTCTATTATTCACAACATTCCAAGTCACCAAGGTCCTCAGAATTTTTTGGTCACATGTCCAGTCATCTTCATGAAGTTCATTTACATTTCAGGATCAGTATATGAATAGAAACAGACATATGGTCTGTTTTCACATCAGGTGAAAGGTGAAGATCTGTTTTACCTTACACATCAGGTCACTTCCACGAAGTCCAATTAGGCTGCCAATTCTTGTACTTTCTCTCAGTGTGGATAATATGAGTGGATCAAAGACTCAGCAGAATGGTTTGGAGAATGAGCCTCTGAGTGAAGAGCAAATACTAATGTTTACAAAAAAATGCTTCCTGTTCTGTGTTTGTAGACGAGCAGAAATTTCATAGCAGTGGAGATCTGAGCCGAACGCAGGAAGGGAATTTGAGGTGAGTGACACTTGCAAGGGACGAACGGGGGATGTTGATAGTTTTGAGACTAAGTTGAAATTAAATAATAGCGATAAACCTAGCTCAACAATCGTGTAGTCAATTGTTTCGCAAGACAAAGTTTTGTGTTTTTGTTGTTTTTTTTTTTTTTTCTAGGAGAGAAAGAGAGACAGCGTGAGCAGGGGAGGGTCAGAGAGAGAGGGAGTCATACACTCGGAAACAGGCTCCAGGCTCTGAGCTGGCAGTCAGCACAGAGCCCGACACGGGTCTCGAACCCACGAACCGCGAGATCATGACCTAAGCGAAAGACGGACGCTTAACCGACTAAGCCACCCAGGGGCCCCCCCCCCCTTTTTTTTTTAAGACAAAGTTTTTATAAATGCAGTCTACATATCGACCATCTGAAAAACAATTCATTTGGAAACAAAGGTTAAGGAAAACCATATGTAAGAGGGCTTGAATGTTAGGACTGTATTTGAGTCCTCAACCAGCGCAGTAAGCTTGTACCATTTTGTAACCATGCAGACAGTGGCCCAAACCTATTCATTCACTGACAGTGGCCATTATGTAGTCCAATAGTGAATAACAAGCATCAGCATTTCATTAATTAATATAGAGGTTGCGTCTAATCATTATTCCCTAACCACGTGCCTTCCTATTTTGAACAGAAGTCCTTTGGTGAAAGGTGTCTGTGAACGTCTTAAAGGACAGCAATGTGGAGAATCCTTGAACCCGGTTACAAGTCTTACTGTGCGTGAGGGGTGCCCCACTGGAGGTAAATCCTGTGAATGCGCTAAGTGTAGAGAAGCCTTCGAAGACGGTTCCTTCCTAGAGAAGCCGGGAAGATCCCAGCCAGGACTCAAACCTAGTCTTGGTGAGGAATGTGGGCCGGCCTGCAACTCCGTCGCAAGCCTCAGCCCTCACGTGGAGGCAGACCTTGTAGAGAGACCCCGTGAAGGTCAGGACACTGCGAGGGCGTCTGAGGCATATGCGAAGAGACTTAGGAAGAAATCTCTGGAGTGCAAGAAATGTGAAAAAGCTGTCACGTGCACGGCTTCCTTTCAGGGTCATGTGCAAGGTCACTGCGGACAGAGTGTCCACGTGTGTGACGTGTGTGAGAAAACCTTTATGGATCACTCTGATCTTACACATCATGTGAGAACTCACCGTGGGAAGAGACCCTATCAGTGTCAGGAGTGTGGGAGAACCTTTGGGTATGCGTCAAGCCTACAAAAACATACGAGGACACACGCTGGGGAGAAACTCTATAAATGTCACCTGTGTGGGAAAGCCTTCCCTGGTCAGCACTCCTTTCTAGTACATGAGAGAAGTCACACAGGGGACAGACACTTGAAATGTAAGGAGTGTGGGGAAACTTTCAGTAAGCATCTACAGTTTGAACATCACATGACCACACACAAAGTAGTGAAACCCTATGAATGTCAGGAGTGTGGCAAAGGCTTCAAGCATCACTCAGACCTCCAAATACATATGAGGATACACACCGGAGAAAGACCCTATGAATGTAAGGAATGTGGGAAATCTTTCCGGACTCAACACCATATTAAACGTCACATGATCAGTCACAGTACAGTGAAGCCCTATGAATGTAAGCAGTGTGGCAGAGCCTTCCGGGATCACACAGCCTTGCGAGTCCATACGCGGACACACACTGGGGAAAGACCATATGAATGTCAGCAATGTGGGAAAGCGTTTAGACATCGTGGAAATCTGAGGGAACATGTGACGACACACACTGGGGAGAAACCCTACAAATGTCAGGAATGTGGGAAAACCTTCAGGTATAACTCATGTCTGCGAGAACATGTGAGGAAGCACACCGGGGAGAGACCCTATAAATGTCAGCACTGTGGAAAAGCTTTCATTCGACACCACACCCTCACACTACATACTGCGAGAAGACACTCAGGGGATGGACACTTGGAATGTAAGGAGTGTGGGGAAACTTTCAGGAAGCACCGATCTTTTCAATATCACATGACTACACACAATGTAATGAAACCCTATGAATGTGAGGAGTGTGGCAAAGCCTTCAGGTATCACGGAGACCTGCAAATACATGCGAAGACACACACTGGGGCAAAACCCTGTATGTGTCAGCACTGTGGGAAAGCCTTCACATCTCCTTCAAACCTGAGAGCGCATATGATGACACACACTGGAGAAAGACCCTATGAATGTAAGGAATGTGGGAAGTCTTTCCAGACGATTCATCAACTTAAACGTCACATGACCACTCACAGTACAGTGAAACCCTACGAATGTAAGCAGTGTGGCAGAGCCTTCCGGGACCAGAGAAACCTGCGAATCCATATGCGGATACACGCTGGGGAAAGACCGTATCAATGTTAGCAATGTGGGAAAATCTTTAGATATCGTGGAAATTTGCGAGACCATGTGACAACACACACTGGGGAGAAACGCTATGAATGTCAGGAGTGTGGGAAAACCTTCAGGTATAACTCATGCCTGCGAGAACATGTGAGAACGCATACCGGGGAGAGACCCCATAAATGTCAGCACTGTGGAAAAACCTTCATTCGACACCACGCCCTCACCCTACATACTGCGAGAAGACATTCAGGGGACTGACACTTGGAATGTAAGGAATGTGGGGAAGCTGTCAGGAAGCACCCACCTTTTCAATGTCACATGACCACACGCTATGGAGTGAAACCCTGTGAATGTGAGGGGTGTGGCAAAGCCTTCAGGTATCACAGAGACCTGCGAATACATGCATGGACACGCACTGGGGCAAAACCCTGCAAGTGTCAGCACTGTGGGAAAGCCTTCACATCTCCTTCAAACCTGGGAGCGCATATGAGGACTCACACGGGGGAGATACCTTTTGAGTGTATGGAGTGTGGGAAAGCTTTCAGTCAGCTGCAAAATGTTCAAGTTCATTGAAAACACCCAGTGCGATTAAAGCTTATGAAGGTCAGAGGTGTGGGAAGGCGTACAGGTTCTCCTCCTCTCTCCGAGTTCACATGAAGAAACATCCTGGGGAGAGACCTTCACATGCCACCGCTCCCTTCAAGAACACGTGACGCTGCACAGTGGATAGAAGCCTTTGTATGTAAGGACTCTGGTAAGACCTTGCAGCGTCCCATAGATCTGGGCAGAACCTTGCTGGGAGCCGCACCAGCCTCGCTGCATGACGCAATCACAGGGAGGAAATGGCAGCGTTTGCACAGCTCCTGCAGAAGTGAAACTGGTATCTCCTGAGACTACTGGCTCATGTTGGAAAGGAGCCTGCAGGTACTGACCAGACCTCGTAATATTCCAAACCACCCATGGTGCTTGCACATTCAGCATCAAAGAAAAGACTCGCTCAAGCAACTTAGGAACAAGCCTAATATACATTCTTCCTCTTGTGGTTAAAAATCACCTAAAGGCCTTACCCACACAAAATGAGAAGTTTGTCAGTATCTTAATGTGGGAGACTGACCTCAAGAATATGGGGGAGGTTCTGCAAGAATACTTTTGTAAAGCCTGTTTCTGTACACCTTCTGCTGATCAAAGCATCTCCTCACAAATAATTAGCCCCTGTAAAAATTCTATCTTCTGATGTCATGTTATCGTTTGAACTATAAGTAAAGACCCCCAAACCGACAGGACAGAGATGCCTGGCAGGTGATTAGAATCACGGAGGTCTCCCATCATTCTCGCCAACACCGTCCATCCTTCAGGGACCCCTGTACCAGCTGGAGCTGGACTCCGGCAGAAGCTTCTGAATGACCGCTCTGTGGGAAAGCCTTCAGTTGCCCCTCTTCCCTTTGAGGACACATGTGAACCATAGTGACCTGAAACCCTATGAACTTAAGCACCATGGAAAAGCCTTCAGGTACCTAGGAATCTCTGAGCACAGACACATCGTGGGAAAGCACTTATTTTCCCTTCAAATCTTTTTTTTTTTGTTTTTAATGCTCATTTATTTTTGAGAGAGACAGAGCATGAGCTGTGGAGGGGCAGAGAGAGAAGGAGACACAGAATCTGAAGCAGGCTCCAGGCTCTGAGCTGTCAGCACAGAGCCAGATGTAGGGCTTGAACTTAAGAACCACGAGATCATGACCTGAGCCAAAGTCGAATGCTCAAACGACTGCGCCACCCAGTCGCCCCTCCCTTCAAATTTTACTGAAAATGCGAGCCCGCACAATGGAGATGATTCTGAATGGACACAGTTTTGGGATAACTTAAGATATACAGCTTCATGTATTTTCTTGATGAAAATTCAGGCAGGGGAGAAATCTTTTTGTTGTTTTGAATATGGCTTTGACTTTCCTGGTGCCTCTTCCTTAATAGGGATCCCAAGCGTATGAATTCCTAGTCCGTGTGACTGATATGAACACTGATGGTTTTAAGTGGCCTTCGTTGTCCTCTACATCTGTGCACCTAGATGTTGTTATCTCAGACTTGAAATAATCACATGTTATGTATTACATGTCTTTTTCCCATTACAATGTCTTTTGGACACGGAGGTGATAAAAAGGTGTCTATTTTGGTGTGTACATATACCTTTACATACTTTTACCAAAAAATGTCCTGAATTATACACACCAAAACGTTCTCGTTGACTTATTGTGACATGAGACCCCTCATTGTTGTAAGTTCTTTTCTGTTCTCTGTTGCAATACCAGAATAATCTGAGTTTCTGTCTACTCTTTTCAGTCTTTACTATTGAAAGTTAAATTTTCACGTCAATTTTCTTTTTCTTCAATTTCTAAAGAACTTTAGAAAATATTTTTTAATGTTCATTTTTGAGAGACAGAGCGTGAGCAAGGGAGGGGCAGTGCAAAAGGGAGACACAGAATCTGAACGTGGCTCCAGGCTCGGAGCTGTCAGCACAGTGCCCGGCACAGAGCTTGAAGTTATGAGCTGCAAGATCATGACCTGAGCCAAAGTCAGATACTTCAGCAACTGAGCCACCAGGGCGCCCCGTTTTCTTCAAACATTTTTAAGTTCTGAAATTGGTTTATGTTTCCTGGCAGTAGTCTTGTTGTCCTTGGTTGGTTGTGTTCCAAACTACGATGTAGAAGCTCATCCCTTGTGGAATTATTTTTAGAGAATATGTTGTAAGTCCTGGAAAAGTGAACGGGGTCATTGCTGAAATGTGGGTGATGTTCTGGGCTCAAACCTGTCTCACACAGCCTCCCCATGAGAACAGAGCCCCAGGATCTCCCAGGAGCCAGTCTTCCAAAGTGCACATCTTCCTTACATGCTTCCACATAAACACCGTACGGGCTTTTGGTCTATCTGGAGGCTCTTTGTGGTTTCCTCCCATGCGTTGACAGCGTTTGATGTTTTTCCCTGATGAGCAGGAAATAAAGACAGTGTGCAGTTTGCTGCTGCCGCTGTTTCACTGGCAGACACAGCCCTGCACGTCTGCTCTGACAAAGTGTCTGAGAACTTTTTCTTCAGTGCGTGGTGACACCCCTTTGGACCGTGGCTCAGGTTTGCCTGTTAATTTCGGAGGGCAGTGATTGTGATGGAATTACCAGTGGGGTGCTTTCCTCTGGCCCCAGAAGGTAACGTCTGAAAAGACCAGCACCCTTAATATCAGTCAGATCAGTCAAGGAAAATATGGTACCTGGTAAATTCTGGACATAGGAGCCTCTTCAGTTTTATCCTTATTAGAGATAAAAAACAAAACAAAAACAAAAAACAAACCTCTCATTTCCATAAAATTCCACAGTTATGAGGTACCCCAGAGGTATTGCAACTCTGGCACAAAATGCTTGTATTTTTACCCTTGACTAAGGTATTTGGTCACTTAATGGTGTGTATCTCATCCTGTTGGGCTGGAGGTCAAAGGGAAAAGTATTCCTGCTTTGGGAATTTAAAAGGATTTGCAGACCACTTCACTGACTCGGTCAGTAGAGCGTGCAACTCTTGGTCTTGGACTTGGGGGTTTTTGCCCCACACTGGGTATATAGGTAATGTAAACAAAAATAATATTAAAATGGAATCTTTAAAAAAGAAAGGATTTGCAAAAGCACACCCAACCTAATATTTACTATTTTCCTCCATTTTAAAAAAACACATCAGTAAACTATGAAAAATACTTATCGTTTAGAGGAGTGGCATGTTAAATGCCATGGGAAGTGAAAAAGTGAGGTGTCAGCATTAAGCAGTCATGAGGGGTTTTCTCTCTCTCTTTTTTTTTTAATAGTTTATTGTCAAGTTGGGTTCCATATAACACCCCGTGCTCATCCCCACAAGTGCCCTCCTCCTTGCCCCCATCCCATCAGTCCTCAGTTTGTTCTCAGCATTCAAGAGTCTCTCATGATTTGCCTCCCTCTCCCCCACTCTTCCCCCCCCTTCTCCCCTGCAGTCCTCCCGTTAAGTTCCTCCTAATCCTTCTATACGTGCAAACATATGGTAGCTGTGCTTCTCTGCCTGACTTATTTCGCTCAGCATAACATCCTCAAGTTCCATCCATGTCGCTAAACGTGGCCAGATTTCATTCTTTCTCATTGCCATGTTATTCCATTGTATAGATGAACCACATCTTCTTGATCCATTCTTCAGTTCATGGACATTTAGGCTCTTTCCATGATTTGGCTATTATCGAGAGTGCTGCTGTGAACATTGGGGTCCATGTGCCCCTAGGCATCAGCACTCCTGTATCCCTTGGGTAAATTCCCAGCAGTGCTATTGCTGGGTCCTAGGAGAGTTCTATTGTTAATTTCTTGAGGAACCTCCACACTGTTTTCCAGAGGGGCTGCACCAGCTTACATTCCCACCAACAGTGTAGGAGGGTGCCCGTTTCTCCACATCCTCGCCAGCATCTCTAGTCCTCTGATTTGCTCATTTTAGCCACTCTGACTGGTATGAGGTGGTATCTAAGTGTGGTTTTGATTTGTATTTCCCTGATGAGGAGGGACGCTGAGCATCGTTTCATGTGTCTGTTGGCCATCTGGATGTCCTCTTTGAAGAAGTGTCTGTTCATATCTTCTGCTCATTTCTTCACTGGATTGTTTGTTTTTCAGGTTTGCAGTTTGGTGAGTTCCTTATAGATTTTGGGTACTAGCCCTTTATCTGTCATTTGCAACTATCTTTTCCCATTCTGTCGTTTGCCTATTAATTTTATGGATTGCGTCCTTTGTCGTGCAGAAGGTTTTAATCTTGATGAGGTCCCAATAGTTCATTTTTGCTCTTGATTCCCTTGCGTTTGGTGATGTGTCAAGTAAGAAATTGATGCAGTTGAGGTCAAGGAGGTTGTTTCCTGCTTTCTCCTCTAGGGTTTTGATGGTTTCCTGTCTCACATTCAGGTCTTTTATCCATCTTTTTAAAAATGGTTTATTTATTTCTGAGAGAGAAAGAGCGAGCGAGCAAGCGAGGGGGCGGGGGTCACGGAGAGAGGGAGATACAGAATCTGAAACAGGCTCCAGGCTCTGAGTTAGCTATCAGCACAGAGCCGGACGCGGAGCACTCGAACCCACGAACCGTGAGATCATGACCTGAGCTGAAGTCGGACGTTTAACCGACTGAGCCACCCAGGTGCCCCTGTCCCTTATCCATTTTGAGTTTATTTTTGTGCATGGTGTGAGAAAATGATCTAGTTTCATTCTTCTGCATGTTGCTGTCCAGTTCTCCCCATACTATCTGTTAAAGAGGCTGTCTTTTTTCCATTGGATTCTCTTTCCTGCTTTGTCAGAGACTAGTTGGCTGTACACTTTTGGGTACAATTCTGAGTTCTCAATTCTGTTCCTTTGGTCTATATGTCTGTTTTTGTGCCAATACTATACTGTCTTGATGATGACAGCTTTGTAGTAGAGGCTAAAGTCTGGGATGGTGATGCCTCCCGTTTTGGTTTTCTTCTTCAATATTTCTTTGGCTATTTGGGGTCTTTTGAGGTTCCATACAATCTTTAGGATAGTTCTAGTTTTGAGAAGAATGCTGGTGCAATTTTGATTGGGATTGCATTGAATGTGTAGATTGCTTTGGGTAGTAATGACATTTTAACTATATTTATTCTTCCAATCCATGAGCATGGAATGTTTTTCCATTTCTTTGTGTCTTCTTCAATTTCCTTCATAAGTTTTCTATAGTTTCATCATACAGATCTCTTGTATCTTGTATCTAGGTTTATTCCTAGGTACTTTATGGTTTTTTTGTGCAATTGTGAATGGGATCAGTTTCTTGATTTCTCTTTCTGTTGCTTCATTATTGGTGTATAAAAATGCAACCGATTTCTGTACGT